ATCATTGTTTTTGTGAGTCTCTGGTTTTCCTCGGTGCGAATCCCCAGCAACAGTGGTACACCTCCATGCAGGTCACTCGCTTTCGGCGCTGCTCCTGACAGGGGCTGGCAGTCAGAAGGGCGAGCTCATCGATCCGGATCCGCCCGGAGAAACGGATCCGGGAGGTCTGCCCCGGGGCTGGGCATCGTAGGGCCAACCTCCTTCCGAAAGCCCAGGGGTCCCTATATTTCCCATTCCGGTGGTTTTAGACATGTGTTTGGCCCATGAAAGTTGAGTGTCCCTTAGCGGAGGTGATGATTTCAGGGAAGAATAGGGAGCCCTGGATTCGGACGGCACATGGCCCATAAGGGAGATGTTCTGAAGCCTGATCAATCAATGCAGGGCTTGGCTGAAGAAAAATCACCTCAGAGGTCCCCTAACGCCAGGGGTCAAACACAACTTGCTGGTTCGATGGGAATGAGGGAATGACCCCGAGGACGCGCGCAATCCAAACTGGGCGTCCGCTTTTTTGGAGATGTGTCAAGGGATTCAAGATTCGGTCCTAGGAGTTTCTGTTTGAAGGGTCTGTCGGTTAGTGTGCAGTGGCTATGTTTTTTTTGGCCTTTGAAGGCTTGGAGTCGGTGTTGGGGCGAGTCACCAGCCGTTTGGCCGGCTTGGAGTTGGGGCTTCGGGGTTAGGTTCCGGTGCAGTGGGCTGGGACTTGGGAGGTGGATTGGACCTTTTCTTGGGTACCGGCTCACAGCTGAGATCTTGTGCATACACACATGATACAACACATGTGTTGTTTGTTTCTTTGTTTGTTTGTTTGTTTTTCTATTTCCTCTTCATTCATTTGTACATGTATATCATGCACTGTATAAGTATAGCATCTTAGTTGGACGTATGTATGTATATTGCAAAGATCATGCATCCATGTATCCATCAATCCATCCAGCCAGCCAGACATCCAACCACGCACCAACCCAGCCATGCATCCATCCGTCCGTCCATATGTTCATACGTGCACACGCCCATACCCTTATATTCTTGCATATTTTGTACAACCATGTGCATGCGTGCGTAGGCAGGAAGGGTGTGGCGACAGTGGAACATGTTTGGAGATGGAGTATGGGCATCCTCAAGCTGTATGAAGGATTTAAATTAAATGTTGCGGGTGTCCCATGCAGTCAGTGGCAACAGAACAGACGATACACGGATGCAAATGAGCCGGTTCCAGCTGGCACCAAATGCCTCATGACATTCATGTGCTTGCGTATCCGCATTTCGAACCCATTTGTTCGAACTTCAAGGGGTTTTCCAACAAAGTAATGGACCCTCAAAATTCCCTTAAATAACTTGCTTCTTACCCCAGACTTATGGGGTGAAGTCCCTGTCTTCTGGGTTTGAGGGTTCAGGCAACCCAACCCCACGCCAACCCAACTCGACCCCAATTCCACACCCCGGGCCTCTCGCCAGGCGCTCAGCAGTCCCCAACCTCCAGCCACAAGCGCTTTGCCCGGGGCGGCTTCGCTCGGGGCCCGGCTGGCCGCCGGCGAGCCGCGACCGACGCGACCGGGGAGGTGATTGAGGTGACTCCGGTTGGCTGTGGCCCAAAAAACCGGTACCAAAATGGATCCCTGGTAAGTGGAAACCTGGACCAAAACCTGCGGTTTGCCCCCCCTGTTTAATTTTGAGCCACACCCGGTTCTCCCCTCGTCTTGCCCGAGCGGGAAATGAAGATGTACTCGCTTCCTGAGTTCCTGGACTTGAGAGACTTGAGAGTCTTGAGAGAATTTGGACCATTGGGTAAATAGAGAGCTCGGACTTTTGGTGGTCGATCCGCTAAGTGAGCGTAAGGCTTTACGGCTATTTGCGGACGGATCTTTGGAATTGAACTTGTTGGGAAGCAGGTCCGGATTTTCCAATGGACCCGCAACAAGTCCGACTTTTTGGCAATATAAGTAAGGGGCCCCCAAACGCAGAGTACGCGAAGCATGACGTTTTGTTAAGAAGTACACCTTTCGGAAAATGACACGTTTCCCTTGTGCCAGCTAACCAGCACTTTTTGACAAGGGGTCGCAGACTAATCCGCGACGCAAGTGCGCATTGGCATGAAATTTTGATAGCCATGGACTCACCCCTCCCCTTCATACCCCTAGGCTTTTGCACGTTTGCTTTCAAAGAAAATTTCTGGTATATCCTACTAAAAGTCTAACTTTTAGCAAAGGATCAAGGAACCAGAACGCAAGCCTTGTGAGGCAACGTCTTGTTTAAGAACCCTTTTTAGGAGATCCAGGCTGGTGCGCAGAATTATTTGAGGGTGGCCTTTGTACTGTCTCGTATCAGGACTCTAGCATAATCGAATTGAATATTCAGGGAGTCATTAAATTGACTTCCCCGTGTCAGATGCTTTTATATTCTTAAGCCCAAACTGTTTTCCCAGACCAAGCCCACTTGTAAGCGGTTTTTTTCACTGCCAGGGTTAATCCGGGACAAGACAACAAGGCAACACCTTCCCACAACTTGCTTCTGCTTAAAGGGGTTTTGCGACCATACGCGCTTGGACACATATTGCTCGACCCTTGCTTTCGGAACTACTGAAAGCAGCCATTATCCAGCCGCAGGCTTCCAGCCCATTGGGGTTGGCTTTCCGATGGGAAAAATTCCCCAGTTGTCCAGCGCCGTTGTCCATCCCTCCCTTCGGTGGGCTGCCCCAAAACGGGTTCACCGATCCGGGTTGGGGTTCCCAGGCCTTGACGCAGATGAAGATCCGTGGCCTGCGGCCCTCCACGGTGTACTTCTTCCAGGCAACGGATGGGCTGGGGGGTGGCCGGGGTTGCAAAAGCGGAGGGTGAAGCTCCCCCCCAAAAAAGGCAAACCTTGCGCAATATAAGCCCAGCCTGGGGGTAAAAGACGAAGCTCTTCCCAGCAAAACAAGGATCAAGTGAGCAAATCAATGGTTTTCCGCCGAACGGAATGTTCCATACTGCATTGAGAGGTATAACCCCTTGTTGTGCCGCTGCGCGCTGGCGGCTTGGTGCTTGGGGGTCGCCGCGAGGCTCTGTTGGCCGTGCGTGAAAAGAAACTGAGCGAGTTGAATATGGCAGAGAGCCAGAGAGAGACTGTGACCTGAAAGAGATGCGGGATCAACCGACCGACTCAGAAACATGCCTTCCGTACTGATGACATGCTGCCAACTTCTGTTTCTGTATTCACAGTAGGTGCTTATATATATATATATATGTGTGTATATGTATGTGTGTGTGTTACACATAGTACATAAATTCACACACGACAAGCATTCACTGCCAATTATTTAGAATATATTTTAGGAAGCGGTCTCCAGGCGGACACGGGACATGATCATAGGTTTAGCCGAGCGCAACGCTGCACATGGAGCACTAGTCCAAGACGTCCTGAAACATGAAATTGTGTTTGGCCGTGCTCGAGACAAGTGGGGAGACAGGAGGGGCACTTCGGTAAACCATCGCGTGACAGGCGCATTTTTCCATGAAAAAAACAACAACAGCCAAGCTGGTTGGGAAAACAACAAGGTCAGTCACTATGAGAGACATAGCATAGTGAGGAATTGGTTGTGAAGATAAATAAAAATTGATGAAATAAGCCTTTGCTTGTGCTTGGTGATGCTTGGTGATTCCACCAGTCTCTTTGCTTCTGCTTGCTGGCTCGGGCCTTGTCACTGCTTATCTCGACTTGTTGCCCTGCTCGTTTTCCTGCTTGTGCTACGTCACATGCTTTTTGTTTTCCAGAACACTTTCGTTTTTTGGCATTCCATGACATGGAAAGCAACATTTCGGCAAGACTTGACAAGGCTGATTGCCCAATTGGTTGGTCCCTTTGGCTTGGCGGGTTGATTTGGCTGCCCAGACATCATGGCCTCCGGCTGTTGGCAACTTGTGGTTCGATTGAAACGAGCTGATGTCGCACAATTGCTGTTTGGTGCCGATGCTTGATGTTTAGACCATCTTTTCCCTTCTTCAGGGTACCGTCTCCTGCTCCGCACTTCTAAGGGGCTTCCCGTCTCCACGCACCGCGTGCTTTTTTCAACTCTGATGTCAGCTTTGCGCTGGAAATTGCTGGAAGCCAAGGGGGCCAATGCATCCGTGTGCCAGGTCCAGGCCTGCAATCAGATTGGAAGCTCAGCCCGTCGGCTGCACGGAAGCGGGGGGAGGGAAAGATGCGGAAAACCACGGGGGCCACGGAAAGCGGGGGGCGCCCTGCACGCAAATCTCTGATCCTCGAGGTGAGGGTGGGAACGCAGGATCCGAGTTTTGCATGGGTTATGTACCGGAGGTAGAGACAGTTGAGATAGTATGGTTGTTTTGTTTGCCTTGTTTGCTTATCCATGAACCTGTTGAAAACCAACATTGTCGAATGCTTTGCATGATGGCCGTGTGAATGGCCAGCATCGAACTGAAAGCTGCGCTGGGCTGCGTTGCAGGTGTCCACCGAAGTGATGCTTCGCTCATTGAGCCGTGTGGTCGGGGCAGGGTCCCTGCCAGCATGACAGGACACAAAAGGGGTGGTCTTGTCCTTGTTCCCAGAACCCGCCCCCCCTCCCAGCACTCAGCAAGTCTTGGACCGGAAGCAAAGCACCAGCCGCGTTTTCGAATGCAAGGAATGGAGTGGCCCCAGCCTGGCGATGAAGATGGGGTCCTGCCCTCCAGCCAAGTGCAGGCCCTTACGCGCGCCAAAAGCTCGTTGTTTTTTTGTGATTTGTATTTTTCGTGTTTCGTGGCCCGTTTTCCACAGCTTTGCGGAAGTGTGCCAAACAAAGACACCGGCCCTTTTGCCTCTCAGAGAGTGGGCTCCAATCAAGGCGGACAGAAAAATGGCAGGGCTTCATGGCGACAACGCCTTCAAAGAACCTTTCTAAAGGAGGGTCTTGAGGATCCTGCACTCTAGTGGGGCACAAGTATAAATATTTGAATATGCCTTTCGCAGATTTCAGCTTGTAGCCTGCAGCCCTTCGGGCAGTCTGAAGTTCAAACCAGTCGCTGTTGGCTTGGGCAAGCTGCAGCCATTTTGCCTCAGGCAGTGGTCCCGGTTTTGGCCGGCGGTGTGCAACACATGGCCATAGGATGATGCAGCATCCCGGCCTCAATTGTCAGGGCTCTCACGCTTGGGGCGGAGGGCAGTGCCAATGGGAGATGATGCCGCCTCACATCGCGTCGCGTGAGCTGCATGGCAAGAGCCTCTCACCCAGTGTGCCAAGCGAAAATCTGTTGGAGAACTTCCGCATCGGGACCATGCTGTCAGGAACTGCGAGGGCAGATTACCAGTCTGCCCTGGAGCAGGTGAACGCAGAGAGCCCAATGCACGTGCAGAACCCCTATATGCCGCATGCGGACCCACTGGCAATCCCTGGCTTTTCTGGAAATTGGGCAGAAGTGGCGGGCATGCCGGCCATGCAGGAAGAGGTGGATCCGCAAGAGCAACAGCAGCGCATGGCGCAGATGGTCCAAGTTTTGCAAGCCCTCACAAAGCAGCAGGGCTTGAATGGGGAGTGGTACCAGCAAACTTTGGCAGAGATTTCAAAGCGGATGCCAGGCTTTGATGCGACCATGGCTGAGATGGGCCTTCCAGACTACGAGCCGGATGCGGGCTCGGGCACTGGAACCGCCTTTCCACTGCCCGTCTCTGCCTCAAGCCCTGTCCTGGGTGCACCATGCACGGGCGCGACATCTGCAGAGCCTGAGCCGGACGACCGGATCGAGGAGCTGAGTCGCTATATCCGCCAGCAGGCCCACGAGTATGTGGAGGGGCAGGCAGAATGGAGCCGCCAAATGGCAGAAGTACGAAGTGAGACTTGGCAGCAACTCGACCCTGAAACATGTAAATCCGATACGGTTGTCTGTTTGTATCAGACATGTGCAGCTGCTCATGTTGTGAGTTTCAAGCTGCAACTGCTGCTTCCGCCTCCTTGGAATCCCCTCATTCTGATTGTGTGGTTCAATGGCTGCCTGGAACATACCCTGCACCCTCGTGACCCTTCGTGACCGTCAGAGCATCAAACGCTTGAGTGTGTTATCGCAAGAGCTCCATGTTTGTACCGCGCAGCTCGCAGGAAAGTCTTCGGGAAGTTGACAAGCTGCGAAGGGAGAAGCAAGAGTTGGAACATCAAGCGCGAACAGAGTTGGCACGCCTGAGGCTACTCGTCCGCCAAAGTCGCTTTTCTTTGACTCTGTTTGCTGGGTCTCCACTGCCCCGAAAGGGATATGCCCCAGTTGCCATGTATATAATATGTATATATATATATATATCCTGGTGACATGGTTGATTAGTCACATACAGCTTCTATGTGAACAATGTGCTGTAACACATGCCCGTTTTGGGCTAGCTGTGTTGGCTTAGATGCAGTGGGTGAAAAGCTCAGTTTGGGATCCTTAACAACCTCCGTGAGAGTACCTTTCCTCCTAGCGTGGCCTGTTCTGTTGGGTTTCTCGTTTCAAATGCCAATGTACCGTACATGTCTGAAGCTGGCTTTTGGTAGGAGGGCAGCCAGGCAGCCAGACTAGCACCCTTTTGTGCATCGCACACCGGATGAGTCTACGTGGCCTGCAGGAAAGCCAGCCCCCGAGCAGGATCATTGGCCAATTCCGTTGTTTGCTTTTTGGGTGAAACCTCGTTTTCCCCGCCTTCCTGGAAGTACTACATGTTGTTTCAACAAGGCCTTTGTCCGTCCGATGGGAAAAATCGTAACAAACTATTGGAATAGCCAACCCGCCAGCCGAGTTTGCCTTTTCGATGCCCTGTATTAATGGATAAACAAGGGACCTGTGTCAGGCGCTACTTCCGGGCTTTCAGGGGCGTCCCTTGATGTTCAATCCCAAAACATGCTGTTTTGGGACTGTGTCTGATGTCGTGCCGTCCACGAAATTCCCCAATGACGTGGTGCGGGCTGGGCCTCTCTTAAGGGGAAGGCGGTTGTTGCAACCAGCGAAACAAAGGGGTCCCCTCTTCAGACCCTTTTTCAAAATCTGAACCTGCAGGAACTCACTGGTTGATTGATAGGACACCTCTACTGCTGTTGGGTTGGATCTTTAGACTTTAACTTGTTGGATTAACCAGCAAAAAGTTAAACTTCTTGCTGGGGGATCTACAGCACCCAAGAAACTGTGTTCCGTTTAAGATGGATCGTTCACTTTTGATACGGGGCATGCAGTGCCGACCTCGGCTGAAACCACAGGCATCGCATCAAGGAGCTCGGCGGGGATGACACGGATGTGTCATCCGAGGCGCGATGGCACGGGGCGTTTTTTGTTTTTTTTGTGTGTGTGTGTGTGTGTTTATGTGTTTTCTGCGCGTCTTTGTGTTTGTCTTCGTCTTCGCATCTGTTTGTTTCCCGTTTGTCTTTGTGTTTGTGTGTGTGTGTGTGTTTGTGTGTGTGTGTGATTGTTTTCTGCGCGTCTTTGTGCTTGTGTTGGGCTTTGAGTTTGCGTTTGTTTTTGTGTTTGTCTTTTTGTTTGTCTGTGTCTTTGTGTTTGTGCATGTGTGTTT